GTTAGGGGTCACCGTGTACCCCTGGTTATTTCGCAATGTAGATGTTTCAAAGAAATGTTTCCTATGTCGTTTGAAAGGTAACAGATCAATATATAAAATCTACATAGTACCGATCGTCCATCATTGACATTTCTGTACTTAGCCCTATACACGAAATAGGTCATTTTTGACTTTTTTTCATTTTTTTCAAAATGTTGCATATGACTCCAGCGTATAATAATAATGATAAGAGGGCGATCTACTGATGATAACAATCTATGAACTTAGTACTTCAAAACCATATATAAGACTTGACCTGATGATCACGCTTTGTTAAAAAAATGGGTACCTCAAAATTGAAAAAATGAAAAAAAATCATCAAGGTCCTAAAAAATTGAATTTTGTGGTGCAAAAAAAAGTAGGATGCCGAAGAGCTAGGAGGCTAATATTTTTACCATATAGTTAGGGCACTAAGGGCTTCAATCGCTGAAACTTTCAGCTTGATCGGAGAAGGTCACTGTATGAGTGGGAGATTCCTGGTGGAACTACCCATTTACTTCTCTTTGAGGATTATGGTAGAGAGTATGGATGTAGATGATAATCATCGGGAACGCGGTCCAGAAAAATAAATGCCCATTTTTTATTAAAAAAAGCGTTCCAGAAACAGCGGAATATGTTCTTGACCGTTCCATTTTGGAATACGTTCCAGATTTTGTGGAACGCTCTTTTTTTCTTAAAAAAAGCTGACTTTTTTTTGGAACGTGTTCTATACCGTTATTTTCAATGATTATTTTTCACTGGGATGAAGCATACGTCATCTCTGTGCGACCACTATCTTCGTCCAAGTCATCAATTATTGTTGTTCCTTTTCAAATACATCTATTTTTTAGTAAACATTACAAAGAGCTATGTCCATCAGTTTAAATAATTTACCTGACGAAACTCTTTTTCTTGCAAATGATGAATTTTATGAATTTATTGAAACTTGCTTAGGTGTTGATGAAATGTTGTTGTTCAAAATACACCAAGATCCAGAAATCAGATGATATAAGATCTTATAAGAATACTACGCCTGATCATATCTAATCTAACAAGATCAAACGAGAATTGTATGAAAGATCATCGTCTCTGATTTCTTACAGTAAGTGGTATCAAAAGATGTTTGAAAGGTTCTGTTATGTAGTAGAATGTCATTGTAATATTTCATTTAAACTAATATGTACTTTAAATATCCCGAAAAGTTTTGTAATGAAAATAAAGTGAACGTAAGATCTTTAACGTAACGATAGTATGATCTGATGTAAGATTGCAGAGATGATCACGATTTTTTGTTAGATTCCTCTAAGATTTCATTCAGATTACAAGATCTTATCATATCGGATTACGGTCTAACGGCAGATTTTTCGATCTTGGACAGTTTATCAAAAATTTCAAAGCATCACTTAATGTTCCAGATCTTTTAGCTGTAGTAAATACTTAGGGCATACCAATAGTAGTGGCGCCAGCCCTATAATATTTTATAGAAAGCTCGAGGAACTTTTCTTTCTATATATACTGATAGTCCAAGTGCTGCTCTATCAATCTGCCCTATTTCGTCATTATTCTGTTGATATCATAATATTGAGAATACATCAGAAGTAGTGACGACTCGAAGAAAAAATTATTTCACAAGGTGTCTCAAAATATTTGCAATATTTTTTATTTCATGGATACCTTGATTTAAGAATATGATAAAATGTTGATCTTCGTCTCAAAAGATGCGCTATAAAAAGCTCTACAAAAACTGTATTGACAAATCTCTACTGACTTGTTCTACTGGTTTATTCTATACTTTAAATAAGCAGCCTACGCGATAAAGAGTACTATTTTCCACCATATTCAGCTCAATAAAAATATTTAGAAGGTTTTGTACAGTGTGCTAGGAATTTATTTATACAGATTTTGTAGTTCTTTCAATAGCGGATCTTAAAAAAAAGAATTGGAATGCGTTTGTTTTGTCATGCCGAGATATATGCAAAACGAAAACGTCTACCAATATTTTTATTGAGTTCATTACATTGTGCAGTAAGAACAGTCACAGAACCTTTCCATTTTAAGTTCAGTAATAATCATCAGAATAAATCAATCGAGATTTATTTATAAAGCTTTTGTATAACTTTTCACGGCGCATCTTTTCAGACGAAAATCAAGATTTTATCAAGCACGAAAGTCATAATAGGCTGTAATCATTTGAGACATCTCGTGAGATTATTTTTTTCTTCGAGTCGTCCCACTTCTGATGTGTTCTCAATATTATGATATTAACAGAACAATGACGAAATAGGGTAGATGTATAGAACAGCACCTGGGATATGAGTATATATAGAAAGAAAAGTTTCTCGAGCATTCTATGAAGTATTATAGGGCCAGCACCCCTACTTTTGGTATGTCCTAAGTAATAATAATATTGTTATTGATTACCCCTGAACTTGGTTCTGAATCTGATGAGGATTCTTCAGATGCTGATGGTCAGAATCCTCATCATTTAAAAGTGTCCAAACAAACATTTCAAGGGATGAAGATCTTTGATACAATTAATCCAGCAAAAACATGCCATTATCTGCAAACTTATATCAAAAGCAAAGAAAAGTATATCCATAAACAGACTGCTGTAAAAGTGCAGACCATTAATAAAAACTCTTTGTCGTCTGAGACGACTCGTCTCACAGACAAATACGAGTTTAACAAACAAAAAACCAAAACTGATGTATTGATGTTCATTCATTTATATCGTTAGACACTATCTTTGAATAAAGACTGTAAAATGAAGTTCAATATACATTTTTCAAAACGTTTCGGTAAATGAGCGACAATATATTGCTAATATCACTAAAGCTTCTTACATAAAGAATAGAAACTAATTAATATAAAGAATAAATCATTAGTAGAAACGCTAAATCATGACATTCTTTTCGATGATGTCGTTTGAATTACTAAAAAATTCGCAAATCTTTAAAAACTGATACAATCCATATATGATCACGAGATAATAGAACGTAAGTAAATACTTCCATTCCTTTGTTGTCCGTATTCAGAATAGTCGTAAAGTCCTGCTATAGTATTCAGATAAGATAATATATGTGAAATATAGACGACTTAACATTCTAATAGCCTTTTACTACATAGAAGAATAATCTATATAATGGATCCTTATGGATCCTGGTGGATCCTCATGGCTCCTCTTGGATCCTTATGGCTCCTCACGGATCCGCATGGCTCCTCATGGATCCTCATGGATCCTATGGATCTTAACATTTATGAGGAGCCATGAGGATCCACCAGGATCCGCTTTTTCCCCCTTGCAACAGGTCAATTACTATATGATGACAACACCAGTCTACGTTATCTCGATTGTAAATATAAATACTACTTCTACTTTTCTCTTCTCTAACATATTATTTTGTTTAACTATATAGATGCTGTTATTGAACAACAAATGTCAATGACTGGTGCAAGTATGTTCTGGCTAGATGCTCTACGTGACTGTAAACTCGATCAACCTTTGTTATTACCGTATGATCGATATCGTCTCTCGAATGAACATCGAACTAGTCATACAACGTCTCTTTCTTTTGATTTTGGTCACGATCTCTCACATCACTTTCTTACTCATGCATCATCAAATAACATATCACTTGAACAACTTACATTTGCTATTTATTTCATCTTTCTATTTAAATTAACTAATGGACAAACAGATTTATGTCTGACTACGAACATCAAAAATAATAGATATAGAGATGAACTCAAATCAATTATTGGACTGTTTGAGAATATCATTCCATTACGATGTCAATTAGCTCCTCAATGGTGTTTTCATCATTTACTCGAACATGCTCAAGAGATAACAACAAATAGTATGAAATATTCATATTTTCCACTTCAACGTATTCTCGATCAACATCCACATATTTCAAAACATGCATTTTTGGCTACATTTGTGGAATTTATATCATACAAGAGTGACAGTGACAACAATGCAATTATGATTGGTGATTCTCAACTTGTTCCAGCATCTTTATCATTTAATAATAATGAAGATGAGATGCTAAGTGTATCGGACTTCTCTCTTTCTCTTTATCATGATTTGAATATGAATCAACTATCATACACAATCAATGCATCACTTGATTTGTTCAACATAGAGACAGCGGAGAAGATTTCACAACGGTTTCATCTCTTCTTAAATCAACTGTCTGCACCTATTATCGATAGTCAAATAAACAAACCTGTCTACGAATTATCATTAACATTATCAAATGAACAATATCTTATGCAATCATTGAATAATACACAAATATCATTTCCATCTTCTCTCACTTGTATTCATCATGAGTTTGTATATCAAGTAATGAAACATCCACAAAAACTAGCTGTTGAACTAGATGAACAATCATTGACATATTGTGAACTTCTATATTGTGTTCAAATATTATCTTTAACTCTCCTTAATGAATATCTTATCACTCCAGGTGAGATAATTTGTCAATGTGGTGAACGAAGTTTGTCAATGGTGAGTTGTTTGTTTGAGATTCATGTTTAGTGTGACTGAAGTTTTGATATTATATAGGTGATTGGTATAATGGCGATTGAAATGAGTGGTGGTTTCTATTGTCCGTTGTCATCTCGAGATTCAAAATATCATGTACATGCTCTTATACAACGAACTGAAAGTCGTCTTGTTCTTGTTCATTGGTTGACAAAATCCAAGGTTAATAATAAAATTGTTTCAACTGACATTGATTCAATATGGATTGATAATAATATAATCAGTGGCGTTAACGTTGATCGACTATCGAGAGTCACAGTCACGTCAAATAATACTGCTTATATCATTTTCACAAGTGGCTCAACAGGAGTACAAAAATCGGTATGTCGACATTTGGATTCTTATCTGTATTTTCATTCCTATATAATCTAATAGATTAAAGTACAACACATAACTTTTGCAGGATGTATATACTCTTTGGTTGACAGCAATACATTTAATAAAAATGATACTGTTGTTCAGATGGCACGATGCTCATTTGACATTCATCTTCAAGAAATACTTGGTAGTTTGATGATTGGAGTTACAGTGGCTCTGCTTCATCCAAAAGGAAAAGTTGATTTTGGTTATCTCTCTCGCACTTTACACACTACAGAAGTTACATACATGCAGAGTGTTCCAAGTTTGCTTCAGAGCTTTTTTATTTTTCTCGAACAGTATGATAAGGCAAACGCTATTAAACACCTTCGATCAATTTGCTGTGCCGGTATGTAATTAAGTTATGAACTTCCACATGTTCTGCAGCTTTCCAATTTTTTTTGTAGGTGAACCATTTTCTGTTAAATTTAGGATTTTAATCGTAAACATTGGTATACCACACTGTGCTGTATGGAATCTTTATGGTTCTACTGAAATAACTCTCGTCCCTACATATCATCTTGTTGATATTAAGTCCAACAGTGCAAGCATTTCAGTTGGTAGATCACTTCCAAACTATCAATCGCTGCTCATAAATAAATTCTCGCAAACCACACCTATTAGTCAAAAAGGAGAATTATTTACCGGAGGTGTTGGTGTTTTTGCTGGATATCTTGGAAATGATAATTTAACTGCTAAAGCTCTCATTGGAATTGATGGCGAATTATTTTATTGAGTAGGTGATCTTGTTACAATGGATAACAATCGTCTTCTTCATTATTAAGGAAGAAAAGATCATCAAATCAAATTACATGGACAAAGAATTGAACTTGGTGAAATCGAACGATGTTTACTTAACATAACATCTATATCTGTTTGTGTTGTTATGAAATGGAAAGATGATTACTTAGTTGCTTATGTTCAATCTTCTCATGTGAATGAAGAACAACTACGTCAACATTGTCAATCTCATCTTCCACTACATATGATACCATCAATATTTATTATTCGGGATAAACTACCTTTGAATCCAAATGAAAAAATAGATCGAAAACAACTTCCTTCACCCCAGTTTTCCTTATCAACTTTGTTATCGTCCGATAAATCTAATACTCCTCTTAATCAGTTCGAAGAACGTATACTCACTATTTGGTGTTAAATTCTTCGTTCTAATGAAAACAACATCTCTGGAACTACCGGCTTTTTTAGTGTTGGTGTTCATTCAATTTTATTTATTGAACTTTATCATCATTATCATTCAGTCGTTTATTAGAAGCATTTCGATATGTTTTGAATAAACATAAAATATTACGTACATACCTTCTATTTAATAATAATGATAGTAGTTTGAAACAATGCATCACAGATACACATAAAACACTTACAATAACTATGAATCAAACATTTGAAAATGAAAATGAACTTCGAGATATTATTTATCAAACAACTATTAATCCTAATCTCTTCGATTTATCATCTGGTCGTGTTTTTCATGCTGAAGTTCTGAAACATCAAATATCATTAAATGAAAATGAGAATAATAATAATGAATTCGTAACTAATTCAGATGTTCTTCTCCTTGCTTTTCATCATGCAGAATTTGATCGATCAAGTTCTTCGATCTTCTTCAATGATCTATGTTTTAGCTTATAATACTACTGCAACATCAATAGGAGATGATGAATCATTGCAATATATTGATTATAGTATACATGAACGTCTAATTGATATGACAACGTCTCGTGCATTTTGGTATTTACAATTAGAAGGATACAATTTGGAATCTCGATTATTATTACCAACTGATCGACACCGTTTGTCTAATGATCATCGATCGAGCTATGCTTCTGTCACTCAAATCTCTTTTGACAATGAGATTTCACAATCATTTCTTGATTATGCTTCTATACATCATGTGACACCATTTCAATTAGGCCTGAGTATATTATATACTTCTCTTTTCAAGTTAGCGCATGGTGAAAATGATTTATGTATTTCTTGTCTTAATGCTAATCGATACAAAACTGAACTGCAGAATATAATGGGAATGTTTGTTTCGACACTACCATATCGTATTCAACTTGATCCTCATTGGCCATTTCATGATCTTGGTGAATATGTACAAGGAAAATGTTTATCAATTCTTGAACATTCTCATCATCCACTTCAACACATTCTTGCTAATTTACATATTAATCAATCAAATATTTTATTTCTTGAAACACTGTATGACTTTATAACAATATCGTCACAGAGTGATGAATTATCTTTACATGGAGCAAGTTTCAAGCAAGTGTCATTTGAACAATCTTTTGAAGTGGCTAAGTTTGATTTTATGTTAATATTTTCTTATAACCCAGTATCGGAAAATAATAGATTACCATTTTGTTTAACTTGTTCACGTGATCTGTTTGATGGGATTACAGTTACAAATATGGGTCGGTAGTTAGAATACTATTTTCAACAACTTTTCTCATCGAATGAAACGATCAGTCGAATCGATACATGTTTTACTTCTATATCGAAATTTGATCTTATCCTACCAGAAGAAACTCAAAAAATGGAAGATATTATGTTTTGTCGACAATCACATATTATAAACGAAGGTATGTTTATTTAGATATGACTTTTTTTATAGTTACCATTTCTATTGACAATGAATACATTATACAGAAATATCACTGAGAATATGTTCCTATATCGTTCGGGTCATCCGAGAACTGGTGCTCAACCATAGACTGTGAACGAGACTGTGAATGGATGTGAATGTGGATTCTTTATCCATATAAATACACATACCCATTCATCTACACCGACATTCACCCCAAAGTCGAAAGAAATTCAAATAAAAGTTGCTTTTATATACAGAGCCACTCATTCAGATGCGTTTGAATTGAAATTAGATGAAGGAAAAAGTGAACAAATACGAATATAAAAGAAGCTTTACCACTGATTCGAATTCATTCTAACAATTGAGAATCGAAAAATATGCAACCAAAAGGAGGAAAAACTTCATACAAAAGATGTTTATCTGTTAATAAGGACTTGTTTTCAGTATTCAAAAGTTGAAAGAAAAGAGGAAGAGATTGAAATTTGGGACGGGTGTGGGTGTGGGTGTGGATGAGGCTGTATATCTGCCAGACATATATTTCCACAAACTACACACCACACCCACACCAGAAGGTCCTTACAGCACATAAGATAATAGAGAGAAAAAACGAACAAGAACAACTAGAGAAAAAAAACATAAACACATGAACAAATGAAAAACCACAGAGATATCAACTAACTAATATACAAAAAACGATTCAGGAAAAATACGGAGGAGTTGAACCTCCTCCATATCATACGAAGGTAAAGAAGAAAGAAGAATTAGAAGAAATTCAATCCATACATCTTTCAAATACTGAAATGTTATCAACAAATCTTTTATAAAGATGTAAGCATCTAATAAAATACTCTTTCTCCACCCAAGACTGACGAAACCTATTCAATGAAGCATTTTCAAAAAGCATTTCATCATCAATAGAATCAGCTAAAGCACATAAATATTTATTCCAATAACTATAACATCTATCATCAAGTGATAACTCATCAAACAAATACGCAGAAAGAAAATCCTTCCAACCGAGACAAGTGAAATAAAAATGACTCAGTTGAGCACGTTGAAGATCTGTAAGAAGAGGAAACACAGGATTTAACCATGTAAACAATGGTAAAACATAAGAAGAAAATAAAGCTCTTCTAAGAACCCTAGATGTTTTACCAAAAAATCTAAAAGAATTAAGGAGACATAATCGTTATCTAATTTTCAACATAGACACATGGATTAGTTTGCCCCATCCCAACCTAGAAGTAATATGATATCCAAGATATTTAAACTCTTTTGTCCACTTAAGTGTATGACCACCAAGTATAATATCAAATTGAGGAGAAAAAGGAGCACGTGTACTCCATAAAGCTTGAGTTTTATTATAATTTATCGGTTGAAGTGTAAGAATACAATAGTATTCAAGTTGATCACAAAATAACTTGAGTCTTTTCTCAAGATCTATACATTGAATAGAAAACTTCAATCCTATCTGACCAGCAACAACAGCTGCCAAGTCGTCTGCAAAGAGATGCGACGACGACCACGAAAGAAAAGCAGGCATATCAGCATGATATGATATAAAAACAGTAGGAGTAAGGAAACTTCCCTGGGGACCACCTTTTTCAATCCCAAACTATCTAGATTTTACACTATTAATTTCAATGAATCCTCTTCTATTCTCAAGCCAAGCTCTGATCCAATTAGTGAATGATGGTGGAATGCCCATTTTACGAAATTTACCAACACAACCTTCATGCCATAACATGTCAAACGCACTTTTGAAATCAACAAACAACGTAACCGTTGGAGAACTGTTAGACATCAGACTATAGATATTATCAAAAAATAACAACAATCTTGTTTGCAATCTAAAACCTTCTCTGAACTCTGATTGATTATTAGGAAGTAAACCTCTTCTATATAGAACATCACGAAATCTAGATAGAAACAATTTTTCACCAACTTTTTGAAAACAATCTAATAAAGATATAG